AACCATTCGGCACGCGAAAAACCATGGGAACGAGTTGGCTTCGTATTAATTAGGATACCTGGAAGAAAGAGAGGAGCAATTCTCCAGTGTAACTTTTTTCTGCGAGTCCGTAATAGCGATACTGGCCATCTGGTAACGCGAGTGGTGCTACCACAGTAATAATTGAACCAACGTAGCCGTCGGGTCTGTCCGGCTCGACATAAAACAGTTTCTTCAAATAGAAACGGGCCAGTTGTAAATTTTTGGTAAAGAGAAAGATCTCTAATCACGTGACCGAATCCAGATTTCGCTCGCGAATTTCGTCACGCCATTGCGATTAACATTTTTTTGGAGGACAGGGGCGCCGCTAGCTGTTTGAACGCCCGTGTGCAATACCGATTATGCCGCCCCCTGTTTAACTACGACTACCTATGCTGAGCTTGCCAGAAAGGCTCTTTGCCGCCCCCCTGGACGTGCCGCTGCGTGCGGTGCACGCCTTGCACGCCCGCTTACGGCGGGCCTGTTGGAGGATGGTTGACGTTCATCGATCGCATTAATTTCATTTTAAATTTTAATACATCTAAATAAATACACAGTCAAGTTGAATCTATATATTTACTTCAAGCAATTTCTTTCACGCGTTGTAATCGCGGAATCGATAACGGGTTGGTAAAAAGCAGTTAAATTCCAGTCACCTGGCTGGGCAGAGCACCCTTGTTAAAATTTGCTGAACGTAATCACTGAACTGAGCCATAAATCAGTTGGAAAAAATTTAAACGAGGCAGTCACAAGGTCAGAGACAATCGTCTGTAAACACTGATAGATAAATTTTACTTTGTTCACTTCCTTCGTACAAAAAACAGATAATTCTTCTTAGTAACACGTGACAAAAACGAAACATGTTAGCACGTGACTGTTTACTATATAACTCGAGAGAGATAAGGCATTTAAGTGTATATCATTAATAGATAATTAGGTCACGGTGGACGAGCGAGATTCCAACTCCAAAAACAGTTTTATATTAAGAATTACATTACTAAAACTTTTAAATTAACATTTCCTAAAATAAAAATATAAAAAAACAGGAAAGCGAGAAGCAAACATTCTCACCATTGGGTTAAGCCCAGCTGATCAAACGTGTAAAACGAACGTCAGCGACGAGTAGTTGTAATAGACCGGTGTGCCGCGGGTTTATATAGCGCTGCGAGTCATACAATTTAGGCCGAATTAATAGGTGGCGAGATCGATTAAAAAATCGATTATCTTCGTAAAAGTAAAGGAAAAATCGCAATTTACGTAATCATTTTAAAAAAGCAGTGAAGAACAGTTAAAACGAGTAGAGACTATTTTGACGTAGCAATTAAGAAAACGCAGAGAAAGCGGTGACGCAATAATGGAAAGTTCGATTTTGATACTTTACTATTGTTGCTGCAGTAGCATAAATACAACGTTAGAGCAAAGGGGTGGACGTAGGTGAATGACATCGACGACCGCCTTTTTACTCGGCGGGCGATGACGTTCACCCACGTGTTTATTTATGGAAAGTAAAGATGAAAGTAGATACAACCCACTTCATTTTGCACAAAATAATTTTATTGCATTTTATTTAAAAATCATTTTTCCTTAAATTAAATGTATGTTGACTGAAGGCGAGGAAATGTCGCTTAGTAAAATAACTGTTTGTAAAAAATGCACTTTTCAAGCGTAATTGATCAATTATATTTGACCCGATCGGAAAAGAGTATAAATTCTTGTGATAAATTACATTTTTTTAGTTAAAAATACTTAAAAAATGAAATTAACTTCTTGATCGCTCTCCAGTTAAGCAATAAAATATAAAAAATTTAATTAATTTCCTGTTGCATAATTTTATTTTATTTTTATTTAATGGCTGTTGATAAATTGTCTAAAAATAATTCTGAAAGGAATATACTTTATAAAATGATCGATCAGAAATATAATTAATCAATTGAAAAGAATTTTGATCGAGTTCTTTAAAACTGAATTTTGATATTAATCAAATAATTTGTGCAAAGTTTGATGTTAATCGATCGATTGCTAGTCGTGCAAAATTTTAAGTTTTCCTATATGATAAGATCAAATAAATATATGATCAATCTCAAACTGGTCAAAACAACAACAACTTGATCAGTTTCGATTTTTCTTTGTGTTTAATTAAACTTGTCTCAAATAATTGTTGTTTGATTAGTTCAGATACTTCATAAAGCAAAATTGATCGACTTCTTGAGTTGTTTGAAATTGATCAAACAGTTGGGTTTCGAGAAAAGTTTTAAAAACACCATCAAACAACTGGAAAGATTTCGAGTCTTTCTTATAAGAATCGAAGTCGATCTTTTCATAAATCTTTTTTGAAATCTTTAAAACTGATCGAGTAGTCGCTGTTTATGACAAGTCGAGATTGATCAAACACTCTTATCGAAAAAAAATCAAAACTGATTAATTTTTTCCTGAAATCTTTGAATTTGATCAAACAGCGAAAAATTTAAAAGCGATTAAACATTATTTTTCTCACAGAAAGCCGGGACACGATGAAAACTCTGATCGATCGTCTAAGAAGACTTTAAAAATCGATCGAAACTAATTCGGTCCTTTTCGAGAAACGAGAAACAAAAGCATCGTCTTCGATCACTCACCGATTAAAATCGATCAATGACGAGTATTTTTTATTTACCTTCAGATTTTTAAGTAATGATCGATAATTCAGATCGATCACTATTTAAAAATTAATAAAAGAACTAATTCTTATTCTCTTTTAATTAACCGGCAGTTAATTACATAATGCTAATTATAATAATAAATAAATTGTTATCGTAACCGTTTATTAAACAGTAAAAGCTGAATCAAATTTTGTTACTGCAGCAGCCAAGGAAATTGCTATTATAGTAACAATCCAATTAATTACGTATTCTTCCGGTATGCAAGAACGTTAACAACTTCTTTAATTGGACTTCTATCATTATCTCTCGTTTGAAGCCGACAAAAACAAACAAAAGATGACATCTTCCTGCTTTCTAATCCGTCTATTGAAATTTTATCTTTCTTTAAATGCTTGCCGCTACGTCAAAATAGTATTTTTTTTAAATGTACCATTGCTTTTTATATAGAGCATCTGTGACTTTTCTGCTGTGAAATTAAGAAAGAAAAAAAATCAATAGAAGAGGGTGAGATCTGTGAGAGAGGTGCATTATACTCAGGAAATTATTAATTTAATCTTAATATCTAGGCGTGATTAGGGGCAATTTTATCATCTAGTGGTGAAAACTCAGTAATTTACATCGCGGTTTTTGTAATAAAATTATATAAATTTTCAAGATAATTTAACGAATTTTGCGCTTTTAATAAGCGAAAAAGAGATGTAGTCTCCTACGGTTACTAGTAAGAATATATGTTTGCGATACAGCACCGAAAATCCCCTAGTGTGGAAAATGTCTAATTGTTTAAAATTATTTATTAAATTTATTAAAAACTACCGTAAACAAGAACCCGTTTAAATATTAATTAACACAGGATAAAGAGAGAAAGTAGCACGCTCGCCAAGACTGCTCCTGGTGAGAATAATACAAAAAACGAGGTAATCGCGTGGGGAACGTGAAAAATATATTTTAAAACTGCAACCGAAGAGTTTTTAAAGAAAATAACCCGGAAGAAAAGAAGAAAAAAAGACAGATTTTGGAGAAAAATCGCAGTTTTGCTCGAGGCACGATATTGTTAAGAAACAACATTATATAATTTGGCGATAGAAAAAAGTTGCCCGTTATTTCTCTATTCTAGTCTTTCGAGACGAAAATAAGACTTCAGTCACGCAGAACAACGAAATTCCAGAGAAAAGAAACACCGTTGTTTCGAGCGATAAACCGGAACTGTCCGATGAAGATAGAAAATGCGTAAACTTCTATTCGAGCAGATGGTATCGGGTCACTGACATCGAACCCACAGAAACTCTTTTATCTGCAATAGTCCACTAACCACGCAGACACGTTCGTGTATACAAAATTCGTATAACTTAACACGCGCTCACTCTCTACGCCCTCCACTTAAGAAAGGTACAGACAGAACCGATGGCTTAACTAAACACGTGCCCGTCTCTTCTAACCACTAATTTTTCCGGTAAGAAGATGCCTACCTTAAGCATTTTCGACTTACTTTAACCTCGTCAACACATTCTTTCGCCGTTTAAAACAGAAACGGGCATTCTTTACAAAAAGGACACTTTAACTGGCAGAAGCACCCTTATCGCAATACGCTGAACTTTGACCCTACACATGTTTAGTTTTTCTAGAAATTTTTAAGTCCGACGCCCGTTAAAACTCGAACAAAACTCTCCCCTCCAAAGACAATAAAAAATAAATGTATTTTTATGCACGAAAGCGGATGTAAATTTTACACACAATAAAACGTATTGTTTTCCTCGAAACAATGTTATTTCCCTAAAACTTTTAAGGGAAAATAGTAAAATAGTTACATTTTTCGAATCCCTAAAACTTTAAATGCTTCCTCTAGAATTCTTTAATAATTAGTATTATTAATAATAGAGCGATAAGGACAGGCTGGTAAGCTCTAGCCTTAACACCGACGATTGTTTATTATGTGTGGGACACGTATAATATAAAAATAAACCGAAAACAAGAACGGAATTTCATTACTCGTTTCCTTAGAAAATTGTTTACAAACAATCTTTAACAAAATATCAATATTTTGATAAGATTAATATTTGTAAATAATCGATAGGGACGTCTTTGTCTACGTCACGTTCTATATATAAGTCACACATAGTAATGTATGCTTCCTATTGTTATATAAAAGGTCACCGTACCGGATTGGTTCCTAAAATATACATTATTTCGATCTCGAAAAACGTTCGACAATAGATAAAAGAAAAGTACACGTAGCATTGCTAATTGTCATCTGTCACCATCTGTTAACGTGACCCTAATCTACGAGCATACGTTTATGCTACACAAGAAACATCTGCGCTTGTTGTAACGTACGAAACGATCCAAAAGGTGTATTTTAACGTTTATTTTTTAAGAAACAAAGTTCTGAAAAGTTCGTTTACAACAGACAAAACACTAGCATATTCGTTGTCACGTGTTTAGTAAGTTCGGTAAGGTACGAAACTGTTGTTAACGTAAGGAGTCTCGGTAAAGGCGAACAAGTGAAGTGCAACAAAGAGGAGTATCAACAGTCTCCTCGTACCGTAAGCGGAAACGGCAGGCCATTGGACGTCGTTATACCTGTCCTGTAAGTTGGAACGAGAGTCAGTCAGTCAGTCTGTCGGTGTGTGTTGTAGTGTGATGTGTGGTTCGCTTACCTGATTTTTCTCATGTACGCCGGCAAATAACATGGATAATACGAACAATGGAAACACTACTAAGACTTCAGAGGTGAGTTTGACGTTTCGCATCGTCTTAAGACACTTTCCATTGTTTAACCGAACGTTTCTCTTTGTGGTTCCAAATCTAACGCGATAAGGATGGAAATTTAACGTCTAGTTAAGTTTATTGATATCTTAGTTGGATGTAGCATTCGAATAACCGGGATTTTTTCCTAGATTGGGGAGCTTAGTTTTGTTAAAACAATTTCTGGGTGGTGCTACGACGTCACCGAACATTCCTGTTTATCGAAAATGCGAATTCATTACTAACTACTCACCCTACTGCCCTTTATAGTTACCTCGATAATGTTTGTGGAACATTTTCTAGAGGGGGGACGAAACGCCGAGTTAACTTAACAGCTGCTTATTATCGTTAGTGATATCACCTGGTGCTTTATATAAGTTTAAGTATTGGAGTGGTAAAACGTGGCTTTCTCCGTGTGTCTGCTACATGTTAGGCGAAATGAGATACATAGGGCATAAAAGCCGAATCGAATAAGATGTTTTTAGAGGTCCATTTGTCCTTCTACACCCCGTTAAGTACTTCTAAAAGAGAGAGGAATGTATAAAATTATCGAATTTCTACCGAGTGTTGGTAGTTAAATATTATTTCAAATCCCACACAACGCCTAAAACCCACCTAGCTACAGGTAGTTGCATGCAGCTGAATCGTGATATAGAGCTACTTTGGACGATTGAACAATTGTTTAGTCATCCAGATATTATTTTTAACGAAAAAAATTATATATCAATTTTGCAATCGTAAACAATGACGACGATATTAAATTTAAAAAGTTATTTTATATAAATATGTATATACAAAGTCGGTAATAATAACAATGACGTGAGTATGACGTAATAATTCGACTCCCTCATTTAACCTTGACCTTTACTCACCTGAGACGAAGTTAATGATTTAAAATGCTATCTAGTAACCGAGTTAAAATACATTTAGGCCTGTAGCATTAAGAGAATTAAATTTTTAGGGTCGATAAACTTTGTTAAGTTATAGCACGAGGTGACGATTTAAAAAGTAAAAAATGGTGATGTTACTGTATTAACATTCTGCAAATAACTCTTCATTTTTTGCAGCTTTTTTGTGCAGGGATAGAAGACAATTTAAACTTAAGTGCACGAGTTTTCATTGTTTCGTCTGACAGCTTCCCTTTATTAAATCAACGACACGAATGGGAACAATCGCCTTACAACGATATAATCATCTATTTGCTTTTGTCCTAAGATAATTCGGCGATAACCATTTCCACTTCTGTCGACACTTATTGAAAGTTCGACTTTCACTATCCATTCATTACAAATGAATTTCTTTTTAACTCCTTGTAGGGTGCTACATTTAAGAACAAAATGACTCCTGCGGATATACTTTACACGATGATTCACTGTATTTAATGGTTTCGTACTGAATTCCTGAAATTCTTTCTTGATTATATTCTAAATTTAGGTATTAGGAATGGTCCAACCTGTTCGGGAAGTCTGTTAAAATGCAGAACAATAGTTGCAAAGTATTCATAAATAGCGCTCTGTACAGGTCATCACGTGTGGGAAACTATTCTCTTTTTCGTCACGTGCGGGATGTTACAACATCGTTGAACGTTATATTTTTATTTACACGCTAAAACATATTTCTTCGCTAAGATTTACATTAACGTATGCTAAAATACGCACCGAACCTCGTTTATACCTTAAAAATATATGCTTATTTAATTATGATGTAGCACAAATTCTAATGTAAAAATCTACACAAAATCGATAAATATACTCAAAATCATAGCTTATATTGCTAAAATTCGCTAAATTACACTATATATTCTTAAAATTATGCCAAATTGAATCCTTAACCTATGCTAAAATGTATAATTACACTGAGGAGGCCGCCATTTTAGTTCCATTTCAAAATATTTTGAAAATAATCGATTTACTTTATTGCTGATTATTTTTCGAGACGTATAGATAATGATTAAGCGCGAGTGTAAGGTTTCACGAGTAGAAGACACGTGGTACCTTCGACCTTTTGTATATTAGTACAGAAGAAACCCAGCTGTTATTTTCGTTGTCTCCCCACATTTAAAGTATACTTACTCGAAGAGAATTGTCTATAAAATAGCGAAATTATTTTAAGATAGCGATTTCGAAATCACGTTTTTGAGATTGCGTGACTTTCGTTTAATATAAAATTCGATACAACGCCGTTTAATTAGGGTAAACTATGCGATCTCGCGCTTAAACTTTGTACTCTTTATTATAATTTGTAAACCGAGAAGATTTTTTTAAAAATTTTAAGAATTTGAACTAAAACCCAATTAAATTTTTTAATACATGTAATTTTTAAAAAAATCTCAAAATCGCAAATATACATCTCCCCCGAGAATCGTGACAGAATTCCTTTAAAATGCCACATTTTAGTAAAGGTAAGCGTTAATGAATTGGCAACGAGTAAACTAGAATTAGAAAGTAAACGATTCCCACGTGAGTTTTGCTAACAAAGATCGTTTAAACTCGAATAATGGACGTTTTATTTTGGATAGTCACGCTAAGAGAAATAAAATGGCGCCTACCGGAAAAGCTAAAATAACAGGCCACTGACTGTTTCCGGTAGCGTGCAGACTGGAAAGAAAAAAAAAAGTGAAAAATTGCAGTTCGACATTGCCCTTTTCGTTTTCCGTTCTTTGTTTAAATTAATACATAATGGCGAACATCAATTTATTAACAATAATGCAGAAAATGTTCTTGTATTATGCCGTATTGCAATATACTGTACTGTACGTTGTACTTAATTCATATTTTGTGCACTATTTGCCAGCAAAATATAAGATCAAAACGTGTAAAGAATTTCTTCAAAAACTACTTTACACAATAATTTTCGACTGCGGACGTTAAGATCTAGGTCTAAACCAATGAAGATTACTTTAATGGTTTTTAGAAAGCAGCGTCGTCATTCCTACTTTTTCTAAATATAAATGGCCAAACCTGATTTTTAACAATTTGCTTCGTAAGAAATGTTAATAAACAAGCAGAAAAACCTTGAAGAAAGACAGGATTTCCTGTAGAACGTCCTTGTTGGACCGAATAATGCCCGAAGGGTGATTTCGATTCGATATCGTAAACCCTCCGGGCTTTCTCCTTCAGTTTATCTCCGATATACTATAAATGACAGCCAGATACCATCTAAACTATTATAATTAAAAAAATCGTTAATGTTAATTTAGATTCTACTACATTAAAACAGCGATTAACGCAGAAATATGGAATGTGTCACACGCCAATGTTAAAACAGGCTGCTACAACTAGATTACAATTTAATAAGATCTCGCTAAATGAGGTTATGATTTAATAAAACAAACAAAAAATACGTTAAAGTAGCAGTTGCGCATCGGGTGCATAGAACGTAGCAGAACCGTAACACCAGGAAAATATTTTATTTTACGCGCAGCGTTAGCAACTACCGAACGACGATGTAAGTTATCGAGTATCTTAACCATCGTCGTTACAATAGTTCACACGTTTACGTGACTAGAATTTGAAGTCGTAGTCTTTCTTTCGCATACAGTTGAATTTTAAAAGCGTAGACTTTCGATTACAAATTAAAAAAGGTTATATTAGAAAGGTCGTTCACATAACCGATGAAGCGTTTTACGACTTCTGTAGTATTATAAACCGTAAGCGTTATACCTTTCGATCATGTAATGTGGCGGCGGTCTTCGACGTCAACAAAAACTTAAAATCCAGTTGTAGAGGTTATTGACTTTTTAAAATCGTCGAGCCTTAAGGGATGAGCAATTACATTCAAATTCGTAAGTACGAAAATGTAAGGATTATTTACACCGAGGTCATTATCGAGATTCAACGCGGACGACGAATATCAAAGATGAACAAATGTTGAAACGAATGCTTATTACAACAAAGATGCACGATTTAGTGTAATGCAGAGGGAAACCTCGGTAAATTTTACCACAAATTAGTCTTAAGCAAACTGTGCGTAATTTGTAATTGCGAGTATACTACTGTATACGCGAAGGAGACTTACTAGAATTGACGCGTAGAATCATCACGAAGCTGCACGCGGTGGGCATACAAAGCATTCGTTAACGACAGTAAATCACTACGTGCATAGAATGAAGAGGAAAAGATGGCATTAGCAAAAGTGAAAGGATTTATTTAAATAAAGAAAAAAAAAAAGAAATTACATCATAACCACGTATACATAATTACGAAATCACCCGCTGCTCGGGTCTTCTCCGGTGTCCGTACTTTTAACGAGAGTAGATTTACTAATATCGCATTGAGTTTCCGCCTCCTGAATCTCGGGAACAGTTTGTTCTACCTTCTTTTCGCTAGATGAAATCTCGTCTTCCGAGACTTTGCACTGGACTGATGACGACACGGTTCCTTCTCGAGGAAGAGGAATAACGTCATCGACTACTTCTCGAGGGACGGTAGAGCTTTCCGGCTGAACGGGTAATTCCACAATTTTCTTCCGAGGAGATTCGACGACTTTTTTAATATCGGTCTCGATAGAGTCTTCCGGAGGTTGATCGGAAACGATCACGTAACGTTTATCCGCCTTGACCACAATTCGGTAGCCTCCGGAGGATGATTTTAAGCTTACGTTTAACTGGGATCCTTCCGGTAGTTTAACAGCCGCAGATTTCGTCTTACGTACTTGGCTGACGTTGGCATCTTTAACGCGAACCACTCTGGGAAATCGTACAAAGTTTATTAAGAAAATGTAAACGAGAATACCCGACATCATAATGCTCATCGCCAGCATAAGAAAGGTAGAAAAATTATTTGCTGCGCTTTCCACGGAAGTGGTATCTTTCGCACTCTGGTCGTTAGCCGCTAGCGAGAGGAGGAAGAGGCAACCGCAAGTTAAGAACGTAGTAAGCTTCATCTTCGCCAGCTGCAGCAACACCAAGCGTCGCTCTTCGCGAGTCGGTTAAGAACTCTTTCGCTTCATTTGCATATCGAATGTATCGGAATTGGCAAAACTTAAGGAAATTACTTTAAAATTTTTTATAAAGCTTACTAAAATTACAGATTTTTATATTATTGACGGAATTTTAAGCACCATTTTCTTTGATTTCTAGATATTTATAACGCGCAGAAAGTTGCAAAATTTATTTTTACATATTTCTCACAAACGACTCGCTTTATCATCATATTTTTCTTTTAGTTTATTAATCAAGTAAATCATACAACCACTATAAAATAATCGCTATGTTTTAGAAAGGGTATTTTATGATTTGTTATAGTCTCATTTGCATATTGATGAGAGGCATTTGTATATATTTTAGCAACTTCTTACGTTATTTAAGTATCAAACAATCGAACGGGCTAAAGATAAACTGTAAATATATGATTTAACACGTTTACACCCATTCAAGTGCTTGGTAATGTTTATATTTCGTTATTTCGACATGTAAACGAGCCACAAATGATAACATTTATCTATCGTTCTAATTGGAATTTGCGTCGGATGGCGGACGAGTAGCCTATAATAAAAGGTAGAATCGTTATTACCTCAACAGGGTGTGAAAAGGTGTAGGTATCGTCTACCGAGAAATCTATTTTTTCTAAATCATTCTAATCGGATTGCACTCGGATAACCATTTCTTAGAAGAAAAAATATTTTAAACTGATTTAACCTCGATACGTCCTCGAGATATTTTTAAAACCAGTCATTTTTATGATTGACTGGTTGAAATTCGATTAATTAGGGTGCTAACTTCTGGTATTAATTGTTTGGTACTCGAGATGATTAGAATTTTCGGAAGCGTAAACATTTAAATTGCCATAATTTTTGCGAGAAAAGGCGTGGAAAAGTAATTCGGGTATCGTAATCCAACGACGAAGGAGTCGGCGCGGGTGTTCCTAATCCGGTTCGCTAGCGCGTAACCGATTTAAACTTAGTTTATTTCTTATTCAATACATTCAATTTATTTTGCTTCGGTGAGTGCGTAAACCTAACTGTTTCTGCAATAGCATTATTACGCCAGTGAAAATAAAACGGTAATTGCTCAAAGTTTAAATATGTTTTGAAATTTAAGAAAAGTAGGATATAAATGTTCTATATCGAAACGTAAATAAATAATGATTAAAATGATGTATAATTTTATTGTTTTTAAATAAAATTGCCTAAATACCGAAATTTTAACAAGATGTCGAAATCATACGGATGTAGAGTCTACTGGCTTTATACTTAAACTTGGCCCGCGCGGAATTTGCAATTTGATAGAAATAACCCTCCCTCGGTACTTCGCTAAGATTCTCCATAATTAGTTGTTACTATAAAAAGAAAAAATCGCATCTAAAATAATACGGTAGAAGCCGTTCTTCGGGTTAAGCTTTAATCCTGTCCCAGGCGGGGGAATTTCCAAAAATCCCTTCTTACAGTGTGTACCAAATTTCACCCGCAGGTTCGGCGGCTTGCTCCGGGCGACGACGAATCAGTCAATCACTCGGTCAGGATGTATAATTTTATATGCTTAGATGACACGAATCTGTATCAAAATATTTTTTAGTAATGGTTTTAAATCTTATAATTAACTTATTTTGTAACGCTTTTCGTATAAATTTTCATTCAAATAATTGATAAATCTCTATCGCTTGTGCTTTTTTTAATTGCTGGGAGATCCGAGTAGTTCCTCCGTCGTCTGTCTCTACGTTTATTCGTTTGTATAAATGTTGGTCGAAATTACTACCGTTCTTAAATATTACAATGAGCGATTGAATGGAAACTGCTGGTGCCGGTGGGTCCGAGTTCGTTTGTCCGTCGATTCCAATTTCGAAAAACTCGACGGTAGATATATCAAATTTTGATTATATCACGGATATAACGGTGACTAAGGAAGAATGTACAGCGAACGGTCTAATTCAAGGAAAGTAAAAAATCTAAGAAATAAACAATTATTAAGGATACTAGCTGCAAGGACCCGCTTCGCTGGGCTTTTATTTGTGGGCAAAAAGTAACGATAGTGAAGATTAAGATAATTACATTATAGCCAATCTTACCCGTTTTCACAAAATGCAAGAATTAGGTCCCCCGTTTCCAGGTTAATTAGAGAATTTTTACGTCCAGTCAAACGATCTATTTTCAACGTTTCTGGAACGTTTACGATCGTTCTATAATCGAACCAATATTCGAATTTTATGTTCGAATTTAATTCGAACAAATTCGAACAAGCATTCGAACAAGCATTCGAAATAGAAAGCCACTTTCAGCTTCATATCTCCCGCACCCTCATAGCTATCGAGACGCAACCACTCCTATGCACGAATGGAGACTCGGGGCTACTACCACATACAAACACCATTCACGTGCGATGTGTAGTTTTGGCGGAAAAGTGAAATATAGGGACATACATGTCCATTTTCACTATTTAGATATAGATTACATAAATATACGCTCCACCTTTTTCATATTAGATTATAATATTTAAATATAATGCAAACTTATTATCATTTTGTGGAAAATGGATATCGAAGGTAGTGTGGCGTATCATTGATTCAGGCATTTCTCAATCTGTAGTGCGAACATCCCCGGGGATCTCGGAAAATAGGCGATTCGGCACTTTTTTTCTATTGTGTTTTCGCCCTGCGGGCACCGAGAGGGCCTCTTATGGCGGGCCCGCGACGGGGCGACCGGGTGGTGAGGGACGGGGCCCCCGAGAAGCTCCTGGGGTTTTCTCGACTCGTCCGGATTCGATCCCGGGTCCCCCGGAGCGGTGGGCTGCGCCTTGACCGGCCGCGGTGTTACGGTACTTCGATAGCACGAATGAAATTTACCAAAGCAGAATTTTATAATTACGTTATAGTATTTATGTGCAAAAATGATTAAAACTGATAAATTTATCAAAAAATAATTATTTGTTTTTAGTAAATTCGATTTGGAGATAAAAAAATTGCATCGTTAGCGGCGCTGGACCGGGAGTATAAACCAAATATTGGACCCATATATGACGAGTGTGGCAAAGAGCCTTAAAAGGTGGCAAAAAATTAAAAATGAAATGAATTTAACGGATTGGAAATTGTTATTTTCGTGGAATAAACGATTCCTCGATGGAGAAACCCAATGTTTCTGCGGAGGCATCTCCGCCAAGACTTAACGCCGCTTTTCAAACTGTTTAATAATTTGTGACGTTTTAAATGTATTGTACGAAGATTCCTTTTATTTGTCGTTAGTGATAATATTTACCTTTCAAATATACCGTTTTAATGCTGGTCATACTTTTCGTAGCTGAAAAAGTTCATTAAAACTTTCTTTTGATACACAAGACACGGTTTAACGAAATATACGAGAATTATTGTTACTTCTTCTGGAAAGCTTACCATACGGTACGAACATTACGAATAGTTAAAAAAAATAATGATTTTTTGACGATTGTTTTACGAAAAATTTGAAATTTATTGATAAATAACTTATTTCGTTACAGGTGAAACTAGAAAGAGTTCTGGGATTGACGGTAACCAACACTACTGCTTTAGATTGCGATTCTAATTCTAGTACTATTGCCTATCCTGCAGGGTAAGATTTCCTTTTCTTAATTATCGTCTAATCTACTTACTCACAGCGTAAAAAATAGTTTCGTGTAGAATCCCAACTCGCATCTTTCGGTAATCTACCAAATATTCTAATCGTTTATAGTTGAGAGTAATGATATTTTCTCTTTAACACTTAAAATTGGCATTAGAAAGAAGAAAATGGGCAGTTGCAAAAAATGAAAGCGTTGATTTGATTTTGTTATTTGAAACTTCAAAAATATTCTTTGGATCGATTCGTGTTCGTCCTCCGATATATTTCTGTGAAGGAAAGCGTGAGATGTTCGGTGTCTATTGCCGTGGCCGCGGACCCGTCGGTTCTCGATAGAGCCGCGTGGTTCCGTACGGGGTTCGAATCCGCCGCTGGTTCCGAATTTCTCGGACGTTCGAATTTGTAATTGTGGTGTCGCCCGATTGACCCGTCCGAACGGAGCCGGCGTCGATTCTAAACGACTGCCGAATAAAGTACCGTTAAAAATCGATTTGGTAAATAGTAATTTATGACGCTGGCCTCTGCTGGAGAAGTACTAGATTGCGCACCGGTTTAACCCGTTTACCTATTTTTGATTCCGGCACGAATAATTGGTACGGTTTGTGAACGTGGTAATAAAATTAGAAGGTCGTCGTCCCGGCGAATGGCATTGAATGGCAAACTCGACGAACCGGTGTGGGATTTTTGGCCTAGTCCGATTTGCCGGTGGAATCCGAAACTTTAATTACCGATCGACGCTAAATTGTGACCTATAATCAAACCGTTTTGCATTTTTTTAACCGTCTTCTTTCTTTATATACTTACTTTAATATTTAGATCGTCTTGCGGTTAAAATACATTACGAGAAATGACTCTTCTTTATGCAACTAAATTGGAATGTTAAGTGCGGTTCTGGCGTATTTTGGATGTATTCTTAACTGCATCAGGTGCCACCGAAATCCCGGCATTTTTGTTTCTGTGCGACGGAATTCGAGTCTTCTGTTCTTGGTAAACTTACCGTTCGTTGCCGCATTAGTCGACTCGTTGAAATTCTAGCCGAGTCATATTAATTAATGTTAATTAAATTGGAATGTGATTTTAAATCGCCTTGTGACGCACAAAATAATTACGACATATCACATGACATTCGAATTAAAATTAATAGTAAGCTCGGCGAGTGTTTGGTGTTTGATTATACAGTAGAACCTCGATTATCCGGACCTCTATTATCCGGATTGTTCAAAATAAACAAAAATTTTACGAATTTGCTGATTTTCACTTGGCGAATTACGACACTGTTTATGTATGTGATGGAATGCATAACATTTTTTGTTTCAACAACGTTTCACCCAGCACAGTGGTCGTAAACTCTTAAATATATTTTGCGTCGTAATAAAAATATAACTTGAATTACGTATTTATAAATAATTTATACTCAAATTACATCATTTCTATAACCAAGGGTGGCGTAAGGCATGGGCAACGTGGGCCATCGCCTATGCCTCGCGGTCCGAAGGGCCTCGCGCCTCGAAGGTTTATGCATTACTTAAAAGCCGAGAACGCGACAAAAAAATTTTACTCGTCATAAAACGATAAATAGTTTGTCAAATTTTTATTCATAAAAATGCAGATTCCACTGCTTTTTATTTTATAAAATCCGTCTTCTTGAGCCACCAGAGGGCCTTTTAAACAATAGCTAGTCTGTTAGCGCTGGTCAGTAGTAGTCCAAATTCAATACGAACGTTTGTTTCTTGAAAATTTGATGACGATTTAAATACAGTATTTATTTTTAATATTACCGATATGTCATCGAAAAGAAAACGTGTTGTATTATCATTAAAAGACAAATTAAAGTATTTGTTTCGATTATACGAATTTTTCCTTATCCGGACTACCTTCATCCCCAATTAGTCCGGATAATCGAGGTTCTACTGTATTTGTGAAATTTTTAGTCGTATATGAATTTATAATTTTGCAGCTCGTTTATGATCGTAAGACTGCATTGCTTACGGTAACGACAACTGTAAACTATGAGTATACCTTTCAAAATTTATAATTAAAAATTTCTTCTTTACTTTCATTTTTTATTAAATGTATAATTATACATTTAATAAAAAATGAAAGTAAAGAAGAAATTTTTAATTTCTTAAGTGTTCTTAATAAATTAAGGTGTTTACAGTTAATAAATATGTAAATTATGCAAATAAAATATTAAATTTAATAAAGTAAAATGTGCAAATGTAGAGATGACGTGTCAAACCTATAAAATCATAATGAAAGTAAAGAAGTTGACCTTGCTGAGATTTGTAGTATTGATGGACGGTTTCCAATTTAAAATTCTTTAAATCTTGTTTCGTTACATCTAAAAATCATCGAATTACGTAATACGTAAAAATGAATATTAGAAAATTTAAAAGAATAAACTAACACAAATTAAATTTAAGTGAAGAACGCAATAGATTATTCTTGTTATTAATTACTTTGTAAAAAAGATCTATTAAATAACACGGATACACTCTGTCGGCTATATAAGTTACGGTATAATGTGCAAAAGAAAAAAAAACAATTTGTAATGGCAACTGTAGAGAATTGTTTTATTAACAATCCTTCGGGATGTGACAGAATGTAGGAGAATGAACCGTTCGTCTAAAAAAGTGACATTGAAGAAAAGAAAGGAAATGTATCGTCTCATTATATAGTTACGTAACAATGGATGATTGTACAAGTGTTTATTGTTTGTGTTAAAGTTTGTGACGGTGTTAATGAGTGAACTTTTAATCTGGAGCAATTGATAAATCTTTCCCATAGTCATCTACGAGTGTCTTTGAATAATTTTGATTATATAAGTTTATGCATAAAATTTAATTGAAATGAGATTTTTATAAATTATTTGTATCTGTTGTATTATATTCTACAACTAATATTACTTGTGTGAATATTCTGCCTGACATACTTAGATAGAGGGGCTATTGAGGTCATTCGATTTATTTTCGGACGTAATCGGGTCCCGGAATTTAATATTTTATATAAAGGTTATATGAATTATGGTTTCTTTTGACAAGTAATGAAACTCTGTTTTTATTTGTTTTACAGATTTTGTTTATATATTTTTATGGCTTTCGAGGGGTTCTATTACTTCCTCTCTTTCAAACCCAAACACCCGTGTTTTAAGCATATTATAATAAGTAAGGATAATGTGCATACAACTGATATATTTAACTAATGCAACTTTACCTGATGACAAAACCTTCAAATGATTTGGACTAAATTAAATTATTAATTACCTTATGCACTTAATCCCACAGGCTGAAATAAGTCCACTTGACAGTCACAGTTGAAAAATAAACCTGTGTGTGGGTTTATTCAAATCACATTTTTTAATCTGCTGATTACTCTAAACAACCTATTCCAAAACAGTAACTGTGAAACTTATTGCCTCACATTTTTGTGTATATGTTATTTTCCTGGAATTATTGTTTTGTTTTCAGTTAATGATTCTTGCAGTCGTTCTCACACTAACACATGCAAAATTAGATTTTATACATGTTGTATGAGAACTGCGGATATAAATAGCTACACAAATTTGAATAAACTCTCACCCAAAACAAATTTTAAAAAATAGACTCACATTTGGTCTGTTTGAGTGCATGTAGTATGTATTTACTTTTGCCTTAGCATACAGAATTTACATTAAAGCCAAACCATTGCTGGATTAAATTGGGCTATATTACAATAATTTGGCAATTGTTTAGCTGTAGTATAACTATTGGGCTTACAGATGTTTATATATGTATACAGAGTTTACCTTGAAACTGTTGATTAAATTTTTAAATTAATTTATTTCTAGCATTCGTAACGTTTTATTAAAAGTAACAAATAAATCTTTAACAATGGGTAACAGAGTTAACAAGTGATCTTTTATCGTTTAATCTTCAACTGTGGATAAATAGTTAATCCACTGTTAAAGGTGTATTGATTACTTTCATAGTAATAATTATTCTTGATGTCAGTAAGAAGTTTGCAATATTTTAAAATCAAAATATTTCTTATCTATTTTTTCTATTTCAATGCATTTATATAACTTTTTGAGTTAAACTGAAGTGAATAAACATTACCAAAACCTTATAGTTTAAGAAAGAATATTGCATGCATGCAATATTCTTTCTTATATTATTATTAATATATTATTGTAATATGATTTTATATATATATAACAATCTTTTAGTTAATTCTTTATCTTCAAGCATAGTGAGAAAGAATAGTTCAATAGTTCAACTGAACAGAATTGTTATTGATGCAGAGAGAGATAAAAGTAAATATATTGAAGATATATTTCTAAATGTCTTTCCATATCCATAATAATGCCTTTTGTCAAACTATTCTTTTTTGTTTTGTCTGAAGGTGGAGAATTAGCCAAAAATACCATCATATTTGTTTTCTTTCTTTTACTTCAATTAACGCAATAAAGAAATCACAGTTTATAGATAAATACATAATTCAATTTAAGAAAAAATCTATTACTATATAAAATGTTTATACTTGCTAAAAAATTAGATTAAATTTGTATTTGATCTAGACGTACTGTATTAGCACTTATTAATACAGGAATTTAATTTTTAAACATTCTGTTATATATTAATTCAGTAAAGGATATTTATATACATTTTTTATATAAAAAAACTTTATAAATCTTGAAAAATTTATAAATTCAATTTGTAACAATGATCTAAACAAATGCTTAAAAAGAAAAGTATACAAAATGCTTGTGTTACCAACTATGCTTCATGGCTCTGAATGTTGAGCAACAAAAAAGAAACAAGAACAAAAATTATCTTTAGCTGAAATGAGAATGCTTTCGGCAGATGTGTGCATTAACATACGGGATACTTTGGTTAAAGGTGGCAGAGAGGATTGATTTGCCTAAAATTTTACACAAAGAAAAACAATACCAATTTTTAATTACTGTGACTGATAATTTGTTAATCTTTTTGCATTCTTTGTATGATTTCTTTTTGTTCTTGCATTGCCCAAATTTTCCAAAACATTTTGCTCAAATTTTGGAGAATAGTTGCCTCTTGTTTCCCAACTTGTACACTTGTAGATATGCAGAATGACAAGAAAAAGATAAAATAAAAAATGACATACTCAGGAAATGCATGAAAGTGGTAAAAATAACAAAAGCTCAAAGAACAGAGATTTTAGCATACTAAGAGAATTATGTGGCCAAATGGAAAAATGAGAGTAGATGAGGTAAGACTAAAGAAGCAAGGGGAAGACTAAAGAAACGAAGGAATTGTATTAAAGAAGACATGATACAGAGAAATATGTCAGCTGATATAGCAACAGAGAGAAGACATGAGAAGAGCAATCAGAAAAATTGACTCCTTTAACAGAAAAAGAGAAGAAATACTAATGAATGTATAATACTAAATAAGTGTAATAAAAATTAATTGTTTGGTTAGCAAGAAAAATTATCATAATTCTGCATGAAAAAGTTTTTAAGGAAGTTTTGTGAATATTTTTTCAAGAATTTAGATTAGTTGTGAGTAAATTTAGGTTGCCGATAAAGTAGAAAATTAATAATTTATTGATGCTATCTGCCTGTCGTGAATTATCCTCTTTTACATTATTGTAATTATCTTTAACTGGAATTGATTTGAATGAATCAAAACGCTGCTCTTACATAATAAAATTTGAAGAGAATGTTTTTGTTTTGTTTTGTTTTGTTTTTTTTGATAATTAAATGAGAATCAAAAATGGAAACATTGAGTATGTAAATAACAAAAAGTAAATGAGTTAAGTTTATTGAATATTTACATAATAAAGTTTTTAGCTTGTTCTAATACTTACATATTTAATATTCAATTATGTATTTAATACTTATGTTCTATGACATGTATAATATGTTCAATGCTCCAACAAGTAAATTTATTGAATAGATATGTATATGACAGACTTCTTAGCTCATTGAAGCATTGAATATATGTAAATAACAGAACCAGCCAAGAATTTTATTGTTTTGGTTTTCTCAAATTGAATAATTGAGGAAAATTGAACAATGCTGGAACAAAAAGTGAGGAAAACATTTTATTCTTATTATTCCATTCAAATAAATGACATATCTATTGTGCTTCTTTATTTTCAAGGCTTCTAATATTGATGTTTTATTATATTATAGAGCAACTAACATCAGTACAGCTATTTAATATGATTTTAATAGTTGCTATTAGTTGCAAAAATAATAATAACAATAATTATTTGTTCCTGAAAATATTAGAAGTAATTTTTTATATCCAAGACTGATAAAATTATATTTATATATATTTCAACCTTCATATAAGTATAATTATGTTCTTTCTTTGCACAGATGTGTAATTGTTCTTTATAATATACGTAAAAATAAACAATCTCACATCATCAGTAACAGTAAGAAAACTATCACTTGTCTAGCATTTTCTGGAGATGGAAGATACCTTGTTACAGGAGAGGTAATTATTAAAGCAATATAGTTTATTAAATAATTAAATGCATAAAATTAATGACCATATTTCAGTGTGGACATCTGTCACATGTTCGTGTATGGGATGTCCAAGATCACTTGCCAGTATCCGAGATGTCGGGACACAAGTATGGAATTAACTGCGTGGTATGATATTTTTATCACGAACAACTTGATATTCTCGAAATATTTCTAGTAATTTTATTACAATTATTAGAATTATAACAATCTAAAATAAAATATTTATATTGAGTTAGCTTATTAATAGGCTTATTCATAAAATTAAACAATAATTATATACATTTTGTATGTTAGTTTATATTGTTTTTATGTTAAAATTGCAGGCATTCTCACCCAACATGAAATATGTAGTTTCTGTTGGTTCTCAGCATGACATGACTGTCAATGTATGGGACTGGAGAGGAAAAGTCAAAGTTGCATCCAATAAAGTTTCCTGTAAGGTTTGTATAATTTTTGTCATCTTAAATATTTTTCATTTTATCAATTTAACACATCAAACTATGATACTTTAAGTTAATATCTACACTATGTAAACAAGTTTTTTAAAATGTTATTTGGGTGATTGTAAGAAAATAAGAAAAAATAGATTATAATGAGATGTGTAATTAATTGATATATATTTATTATATAAATATATTTGAATTTTTTCTTTATGAATTAATTAATAAAAATGATAACTACATAGATAAATTTTGTAGGTTACGACGTATAGCCTAAACAATTCAATGGGGCAGGGAGGTGATTAAGTTTTAATTTATCCTAAAAACATTTAATTATATAAAGCATTTAAATTTAATTATTTAAACTAAGAATATAGACAGAATTAAATAGAAATTAATGTCTTTAAGTTTACAATTAGATATAAACTATCTAATTATAAACTTAAAGACATTAACTTCTATTTAATTCTGTCCATTAGCTTAAAAATATATTTTTAACCTAATTCATTCCAGTGGGTTGTTTGAACTCTGAATTGTTCAATGTCTGAATTAGTTTTTCCTGTTAAAAATAATTAATATTTTGATATTAAATTAATATGATAATAAGTAATATTGGAAAGTGAATTAATACATTCCTATACTCTAAAGAATAAATTAAACAGCAAATACACATAATTTAAGGTAAAAGTAATACAATTAAATGCCCTATATAATAAATAAAAATGTGAAAATAATAAATAAAATACGTAACCATATCTGTTCCTGCTGACACCCACAGGTTGTACAGGTCAACATGGTGAAAAATCAAATTTTTATACTAACATCCATTACTTTTCACCAAACTGTCTTATCAACAGACAAGTTTAACCTGGAGTAAAGTTAAATTCCTTTCTTCTAAGGCAGTGTTTCTCAACGTGGGGCATATGCCCCACCAGGGGGCAGTTTGAATGTTTTGGGGCAATGAGCAAATAATTAATATTTGTTACATTTTCACTTCAGTTCTATATATAGGCCTATATATATTCTGAAACTTTATTTGCTGTTTTTTCATATCACTTAATATTATTATTATTATTACTATTATTTAACAATTTCTTGATGATTTTCTTCTCAGTACTTGAACTGTCCTTTCCTTTTACTTTTCTTTTTCAAAGACACCATGTTTTTTGTCACAGAGGACATCAGGATTTTAAAGATGCTTTGGTGGGGCATAATCAAAAAAGGTTGAGAAACACTGTTCTAAGGTCTGTAAAACACTATCAATCATAGTATGTCATATAGTAAGTATACTTGGTTTTAAAGATGTTAATGCATGCCAAAATTTTAGACTTTGAATAACAATATTTAAAGAAATTAAACGAATATGCTTTAATTAGAATAATTGTAAAAAACTGATAGTAAAAAGAACAATCAGGTGGTAAACCAAATGGATGATTGAAAAAGACAGATGATAAATTGAAATTGTATATGTTACATGCCAGATAATTTCTTGTGTGCCACTTTGGGCACTCTTGCTATATGTTCACCACCCCTGATCTAAGATGTCCCTTTGGTTTTCTCTCTCTGATTTTAGCATTTTTCTAAATGGCCAAACCACCTCAGATTAGCCTCACTTACTGTCAGCTGAATATTAGTTACCTTGAGGTTTTTTCTTATGTCTTCATTTTTAATATGATTTTGCTACTGTATCCATCTATTAAAATCATTAATTTTTCTAAATACTCTCATTTCTGCTGTACTGTATAATAAAATGAAAATTCCATTTACTGTATCTTAGTTAAGAGTGTTGACACCCTGTTACTTAAAGTCACTATGCAGCTGCTTGGCTTTCTCACAAATAATCCTGTTGGATATAATATCACCATATTTTAATTATATAGAGGACTGGGTTCAAGATTATTATAAAAGAAATCAGACACATGATATGACTTGGATACAGTAATTCACTTTAGTATCAACATACAAAAAGTAATAAATGTAATATTGATGTAAATAATGTTAAAATTATTTATGAAGAAATAATAACAAATGAAAATAATATTAATTGTAATACTGACATGGAAATTGGCAATTGGATCCAGGATGATGATGTCATACTAACATATGACATCCTGGATTTTAAAAGTCACATATAAATGCCGTATTGATAAATTGGAGGGTGTTAATGAAGAAATTCCACTTGAGGTCTTTTAAGAGTTGGTGGCCAAAATCACATTAACAATTGGAATTGTTAATGTGATTTTGGCCACTACAAGTTTTTTTTACCTCAATTGCTGATACTGCAACCTCCTTCTTAGATTTTGTTACTTCAACACTCTTTTTTGATGCCATGGTTAATAGATAGGTGTTACATATATAAGCGAATACATCAAAATTAAAGCAAAAAAAGCACTAAAAAGACATGAATATAATGCAAGAGTTGCTTTCACATTGAGAAAGAGAAACAACTCGTGCACAACTGATGGCGTTTGCACAGTGAGTGCATTTTTTCACTTTATGTGCAATTTGAATGCAAAAGCATCATTCAAACTCTGGATTGAATTTCTCTTGGATTTAGTGTTCAATCTCTGGAATATTCGAAGTATGAGGTACCTCTGTATACTAAGTTTCGTTTATGACTAGTTGTTGAGTTTTATTTTTATTTTTTGGAGTAAGGAATTTTTATTCATATAGAAAACTTTAAAACCATTTCTGTTTTCTGTTCAACTTAAGAATATCTTTTATCCAACATTGTTGACTTTTTTTAAATATTCAACATACAGGCACACAAATGTTTATGGCATAAAGGAAACCAAAATGGCTTCCTTTATGCTATAAACATTTTATTCAAGGATAAACATTTTCTAAATTAGTCTGTCCATCATTACATTTCAATAGAAGGATTCTTTATTTCATAGTTATTATTATATGATTGAGCTTTATTGACAATCTGATGATGGAACAAACTATCTCTAAAAATATTTATTCTTGATTAATCTATCTCTGGCTTCTTTGTTTCTGAAGCATTTGCGTTTATTTGTTAAAGAATACTTGAAGGTATGGCAAATCAGTAAAAATGCTAAAAGTACAATTTAAAATAAATTTAACTCTAACTTGGAAAGGTTATTTACTTTTATTTTAATGTAAGAAATGAACATTTTAAGCATAAAGTTTAAAATTTATTGATAAAATAAAAGAGCTTAAAAGATTAAGAACACAGTATGGCAATACTGTGTTCTCAATCTGGTGATAAAATGTGTTAATGCATTGTTTGACTTTGCCAGATTATGGATTTAAACTCCACTTTTGGTAGTTGTGTTTATGTTTCCAGTTTATCAGATTGCAACTTTGAACTATGCTTTGGTTTTGGATATTTATATCGATGATCAGATTTTAGGGGAAATTATTGTTTGGAGAATGCCCTAAAACAATGGTTTCCAATTAGTTGTACCCATACCTCTGGGGGGTACATGAAATTGCATGAAGAGGTATGCGCGGCAATCTAAAATCGGTTGATTTAAAATTTAAATGCATGAGATGAAGCAATCAAAAAATAATGGGTGGACCATCAAAAATTCAGCAATTTACAACGTGATGTCAAATGCACAAATTCGTTTATTTATAACTAAAAATATTCTCGAAATTTCATCAAAAAAATGCATTTGTGACAATACCTAAATGAAATTCTTACGCAAGAAACAAAAATTGTACAATTAACATTATTATCATGTCAGTGAAGCAGCAATAAAATATTTACTACCATTTTGCGAGAGCGGATTTTTGGCCGTGACAAACTACCATACCTCTGCGAGAGCGGATTTTTGGCCACGACAAACACGAAAACTAAACATCGTCATGGACTTCAACTCAAAGATGAGTTGAGACTGAAGCTGACCAAAAAGCAACCAGATTTAACAAAGTTGTACAAAGAAAATCGTGCATATTTGTCGCATTAAAATTAAATAACCTTATGTTATTTTTATTATTATTAGAATTGTATTTTAAAGGTAATAAATGTAAAAAAACTTATTCTATTTATCACTAGCTGCCTACCCACAGCTTTGCCTGCATTATATCGAATTTTCTCATGGAAGTAAGATGTTTTCTCGCAGTAAAATGTAGCCCATGTCCATCTCCAACATGTAAGCTATTTCTATGTCAAATTTCATTAAAACCTGTTCAGTGGTTTAGATGTGAAAAGGTGACAGACAGACAGAATTATCTTCGAATTTATAATATTAGTGTGGATTAATATGAATTTCTGCTATAAAGAGTACGCGAGTTTGAGCTCTTTCTTGAAGTGGTACGCAGGAAAAACTAATTGGGAACCACTGCCCTAAAATTATTAATGTAATGTAATCCACAAAATAAAAAAGTTTGTTATTGCAACCTTGAAAAGAATGAGTCTTTTGCTTGATAAAAATAATGTAGATCTACTAACTAATCTCTTTCAATAATAGCAGTTTTGAATTAATTAAGAATGTTCAATACAATGATGCAGATCATTCATTTTTCTGAATGTAATATACTTAATGAGTATTGAATTGTTTCTAATTGTAAATATGAGAAGTATACTTTACATTGCATAGGAATAAAACATAAACTGGAAATATTGAATAAGCAAACATTACAAAAAGGAAACAAAGTTGGATAAGCATAATAAAAAAATAAAACCAAATTTTTAAAAATCCGGCAGTGATTTAATGCATATAAATATTTTTTATTGTATTCAACAACTTAGGTAAAAGAAAGAAAATAGAATAGAACATTATAAATTTAAAACACAAACTTACTGAATGCAGAACAGCAGGATATGTCTTACATATAACATAGAATTATGAACTCTAGGAGCAACAAATATAACATTAAAAGGGAAATTAAAGTAGCATTTAAAAAATTCATTATGCATTAAATTGTCGTTGGATATTTAAAGGTTTGGCTTTGTTTCAAAAAATTTCCAGTTGATTCATTAAAAATGTTTTGATTCCTATAATAGATTACTTTGTTAAAGATTAAGTTTTATAAAATGAATTAAACTTGTTAAATTTGCAAGTAATTATTTTTATTTAATTTCAGGTTAAAGCTTTATCTTTTTCCTGTGAAGGAAGCTATTTTGTTACAGTAGGAAATAATCATGTAAAATTTTGGTATCTGGAATATTCCAGAACGTCAAAGGTAGGATGATGCTACTAAGAGTCAGTTTTTATGATAAAATCATTTGGAGTAAAAATAACCATTTTGCAGTACAAATTAGAAACAGTGCCACTCATGGGTAGATCAGCTATCCTTGGTGATCAACGCAACAATTACTTCTGTGACGTTGCCTGTGGTCGAGGAGAGAATGCCGACAGTACCTATGCCATCACCAAGTCTGGGATATTGTGCGAATTCAATGGCCGGCGACTGCTCGATAAATGGGTAGAACTCAGAGTAAGTGAAAATTTACAAGAAATTCCTTATGTATGCAAATTAGAAGTTATTTGTGTATTCACCTCCACTCTGCATACAAATTTTAATTTTTCTCATGTTATTCTGAATATCATCATTATTGACAGCTGGAAATCATTAAAGCAGTTCTCAATAGCTCTATTTGAAGTTTTTAACTATGTAAAGTGGAATTGCAAAATTTTCTGTTTTATATCATTACAAAGTTAATTATCACATTTTGTTATGTCTGACTTTTAAAATGCAAAACTATGTTGGATTTATGTTCAATCCATTATTCATTTAATTTGTTATTCAGATATACTCTAACAGGGAGATGTGGGATTTAATCTCATGCATAGGGACCTTGTAGTCACTTTACATAATATGATTTTAAATATTACTTTATTTGATTTTAGACTTCAGGTGCCAACAGTATAAAAGTCGGTGAATCTCACATCGTAGTTGGTTGTTCTGATGGTATAGTCAGGTGTTTTAGTCCATATAATTTACGTTTCATCTGTACGTTGCCTCGTCCTCACTTTTTGGGAGTAGATGTTGCTAAGGGAATGTCTGGAAAGTAAGAAATTTTATAAAAATTCTTTGCTTTTTGTTACAAATGATCAAAATATTTTAATAAAAATTTATAGCTTTTTTCTTAATAACTTTAATTATATTTTAATATGATAACAATTATTTTGAACATAATTATTTATGTACAAAATATTCATTTTTAGATACCAGAGCTTACAAAATAATACAAAGTATCCTGATACTATTGCTGTAACATTAGATGAAATTCACAAAAAGGTATTTGTTTTTCCTACATTTTCAAAATGAGTTTATTTGTTTAGCATTACCATACATTAATTTGTTGTTTAAAAATATTCATACTTTGTTTTTATATTATTTTTGTTATCGATAGGTGACGTGCATATATAGTGATCACAGTATATATGTATGGGACATAAAAGATACAAAGAAAATTGGTAAAACTCATTCGTCTTTATATCATGGTGCTTGCATTTGGGGAATTGAAGTAAGAATATTTTGTATTGCATAATAATTAAATTAAATTATATATAAATTTAAAACAATTAAAGTTTTTTTAAATGTCCCTAAGATTCAAATAAGTGTTTTTGTTATCTGGAAAATACAGTCTTGTATTGTAATTTTCATTCTTGCATATTAAAAATAATGTGTAAGAATGCAAGAACATTGATTCAGGAATAAAAGTTTTTTAATTACTATGTATTTTTTTAAAAAAATATTTTTAAATAACTTAAAAGTTATGAAGTGATTATGCTTGAAATTAGTTTTGTTTCAGAATAAATATTTATATTATTAGAAGAAATAGAATAGTTTTTTCTTAATATGCCAACTTTTAGTGTCTTAGAGATGTAAGCAGACAAATCTATGGTGGGAAGGGCCTTTTCAATAGTTAGTCATGTTTTAAATGTCATTTAAATGAATTAAAAGTGGAAAATTTTTAAATGCGCATTTTTAATTCTAAAGTTTTTCATGTTCTGTATTTAAATTTGTATATGTTATTATTCTGTTTACTTTTTTGATAGTCATAAAATTCTTTCTGATATAGTCATAAGCCCTTTTAGAAAAGTTAAAAAACTTGCAGTAAACAAGCTTTCTGGATTTATAGTGTTGTTTGATTTTATTTGCTTTATGCAGTTTTTCATTTAATGTATTATGTTTCATTATAGTTAAATAAAAACTATAATATCATAGAAAGATGAAAGGTGATGATTTAGAATTAATATTAGGAATGATTGAGTTTTGTTTTAACTTTAAATAATATATTCATAATGTTATAACTAAGAATGAAAAACATCTGCTTGAATTAATAATGATAAGCTATTAAGAAATAAACACTGAATCATATATTCAATGTTGAATTGCATCATAATATCTAATTGAAAATTAAAATTATACTAACCAAACTTAATAATTAAAACCATTTATTTATTCTACAGCATTATCCAGAGTTATCAAATGGTGTTCTTCCATCAGGGACATTTCTGACCTGTTCCAGTGATGACACTATCAGGGTGTGGAATTTTGATTCTGGGATATCTCAGTCTTGTCCATATCAACGTAATATTTATAGTTATGTAAGTAACTTCACAAATTTTATGCTCTGTCAATTGATAAAATAATAATCAAGAAAAACTATAAAATTTTCAAGATGTAAATCTTTTTAAAATTCTTACTGTATTTTATTGTGAATATTAAATATTCTTTCTAAATTTTAAGTAGTAAGTGATACTGGACACAAATAGTCTAGTACTATCAATAATTCATATTCAAAATGAATATTTTGAAAATGTAAAGTTTATTACAAAATTAATGTATCAGTTATTAAGCTTCTGAAACTGCAATTGATTCTGTTTTTCTTAGTTTTCTTATATTTTGATAATGATATGTACAGGTACATTTCTTTATTTACATAGAACAAAATTAGCAACTTTTCTAACTTAATTAGCATGTTTTGTTTTAAACTGAAACAAATATATAAATGAAGTAATTAAAATGTAAAGATAGACAAAAATGATTTATTTATTTATTTAAGACAAAACGACTTTCAACCACTTAACACTGCGTTGAATAATAACAATCCACAAAACCTTTTTTTACAAGTGTTATGTCTGTAGTAAACTCCACTGTGGAGTTTACTATGGACATAACACTTGTAAAAAAAGGTTTCGTGGATTGTTATTTATTTATTTATTTTCAAATAGAGTAAGTAAAGCCTAATTGGACTACAGATTATTACTCTCCTACAACAAGATAAATCATGATGAAAGACTAGTAACACAATGTGGTAACATAATAATAAAAACTGAAAGCAATAAAACACTGATAAAAAAGAACTAAATATGAATTAAACATAAAATTGAGTATAAAACAGATCTGAAATGGCATAAAAGGTCTTAAAAAATTATAAGTGCCATATGTAATAGAATTATAAAAGTTAAAAAGAGGGTAGGTAAAACTAGATGTGTTAGCTTTGTGATCCATAAGCTTAAAGTTTACAGCAGTGTTTAAAATACTGAAAATTATGATGTTTCACAGAATAAGTATTATGAGCTTTTCTAAAATAAAATGATCTGTTGTATTCCTGAGGTGTTAAAAAGGACAAAGATATGAAGACATTTGTTGTTACTTCCAATTTGTGAATATTATATTTTATTATTGTCCTTGGGCAATTACATTTATTAAATAAAATGATCTTCCTGAGATATTAAGTCTATAATTGGGAGTGGATAGGCATGTATTATTTGCAGATATACTACTAGGAATTCTTAAACTTAATTTGTTGGGCAATAATAATTCATTAAAAAATTTCTAAAACAGAATACTGTCAAAATATTCAGTATAATAGGATAAAGAAGGGGCTTCTAGTCTGAATCTGGTAACTTCAGAATTGGTGAAAGACTAATTGGAAAGTTTATTAAATAGAAAGAAATTCAGAAATAATCTTCTGAAGGAGACTAGAAGCTGCCAATGACCAATTTGTAGATTGATTAATGACTGAAATTAAAAAAATGGCTCAGACTATCATGATAAAATATTTTGACAATATCTTCAAAGAATCACTCTCTGAATAGCCAAATCTTTAACTAAGCTATTAATGTGAGAATTAAAAGTTAAGCTTCGAAAATGACACCAAGATCTTTAATACTGTTCATATATTTAATTATGTTCATACTGTTCATACTAATTATGTTCATACTGTTCAATTTACTGTTCATATATTTTATTTATGTTCATGAATAAATAACAGAGTTAAAGTGGGATTCCTAATGAGTGCATAACATATCACAACAGTTTTTCAAAGATTAATGGATTAAGAGTTTTGAATACAGAAGTCAAAGCATATAAATCCTGCTAAAGAGTAACATGACAGGAATTAATAATTTTAAGATTGTTAGCATATAGTAAAACATAAGAATTAATACTGACACTGTTAATAATAAAATATTTACAATTGTAAGTGTAGTAAATCTGTGTATGTAGAACAGCAGTTTACAATGTTGGAAATTAGAAATTGTAGCTTGAACAAATGGAAAAATATAATCAAATAAACAAAGTTCAAATAATTTTGTCATAGTTGAGGAGATTGATATTGGTTTATAAGAGTTAATCTTCTTCTTAGTGAAATCTTTCATTGATCTTGGATAAATGCTGTTCTGATTATGGTAAGAGAAAAGGTGGGATAACATGGCAGCAATTGGAGAGACACTAGAGTAAAAAAAATAGCAGATATGTGTTCAAAGCTGCCTTGAGAATGAGAAAGGTTCATAATAGCCTTCTGTACAAGTCCCAAAAAGAAAGGATGTACCAGTTGCAGAAAAAGAATCAGAGTTTAAAAGGGAATACAAAGGGTGCATTTACTTCTGAGCTAATTTTACTGTCAGCACACTCAACCTGTATACTTTTGTCCAAGCGCCATGCTCATTGGCATTTACTTTAGAGTTGTGTGACGTCATTTTTTAATGGAATTAGTAAGCTGGGAGTGCTAGCTAGTTCGGTGTTGAGCTTTGCACTAATTCAATATGGCTCCTCCCATGAAAAATTACTTTCTATATAAAGTAATGAAAATGGAATTATTTTTGGAAGAATAAATGGCAGAACATACTTCAATTATTTGTTGTATAAAATGTTTACAATGATCTTTTTTTATTGTAAGGTTCAATAGCTTTAGATGACTTTTTTCATAAATGGATGTGAAAAAAATTAAGTTTGATTCATTGTTTATGATTAAAAGTGAAGTTTACCTTACATGCATGTGGAATCTTCAAGTGTTATGTTCAGAGCATTAAATAAATTGTAAAGAAACAAACAGCATTAATAATAATCCAAAATTACATAAGTTTGTATACTTGAATGAATTTTCACTTACATATGGGAAATGACTTCACAAGAAATTGAATCATTTGAATACCATTTTCTCATTACAAACTAAACTTATATGATGACAGAGTAATACTTATTTCTATTGAAATAAGCTGCTGCTTCTTCAGTTGATGTCTTAATAGCCATATGCTTTCAACAGAGCCTATTCCAGGAAAACCATATTGGGTATAAAAAAATTCCATTATTCTTACAGCATCCTGCTGTGACAGCCAAGAGATTATCTTTTCATTTTCATTTAACACTAAGAGAGAATTAACAACCTTATTTAAAATATTCCATTCGGTTTGTCTAGACATATTAAAATGATTGCCAAACCCTTAGAGAAAAGAAAGAAAGAAAAGAAAAAAAAGTTTGTATTTAATATCAACTATTTGTTGATTTTAAACTCAGTTTGATTACACCATAAAAGAGCAATGTCACATCTATTCACTGGGTAAAACAATTTCATTAAATATGTATTATATATATGTATAATCTGCTATTCTCTTGTATACTGCTTCTAATTTCATATATTACTTCGTATAAACAGACCTGAATGATTCTTGATTTGCTAATGTCCATATGCAGCATAAAAGTTGCTTTTGGGAGACACAGGTCGTCTTCAGAGGAAGTAATTTTTCTGTGTCTAAAATTGGGCTTATTTTTTAAAGGAGACTTTCAAAATATTCTCTTGTAAGTCTAACGTGATGTTTAAAATCAGTTGGATTATAAAAAGGTACAGTCTCTTCAATAAAAGTTTCTATCTTTTTTATTTGATCTTACTTTTCTTTTTTCTTCTTTCATTTTTTCCACAATTATTGGTTGTTTGGAAAGTAATTTCGTTTTCTTTCAGTGGAAAAACACAATATTTTTATAATAAATAAATATTTTATTGAATTATATATCAACCATTTTGATCAAATACCTGTTTCCATCATTTCTGGTAGTAGCATGATTCCACATTCATAAAAGTTTTGATCTTTGCTTACAAAAAACTGATTCAAGTGATTTTTGACATTTTCATTTCAAGTAAATGTCTTACAGTTTAAAAAATTTTGTATAGACCAGAACAAGTAATAATCTGAGGGTGCCTGATCTGGCGAATATGGTTGGTGTGATAGCACGTCCCATCTAAGCTGTAACAGTTTCTGACAAGTTACCAAACTTGTGTGAAATTTGGCATTATCATGGTAAAACACTACACCTTTTTTGTTGATGATATTACTCAATTTGTTTACTCAATGGCAGTATACTTTTGGATCAATTGTTAAATTGTCTGGTAAAAGCTCAAAAAAAAGAAAATTTTCTTAAAATCCCACCAAAGAGAGAAATTCTCTTTAAGAACATGTGGAACTCATATATCGAGCTTTGAAATGAAACCAGTTTGTTTCAAGTAATCATAAATGGTTCAATTTGACAAATTTAATCTCTTAGTGATTTCATGTGTTGTTGTTCGGCAGTTTGCTTCAATCAGTACCTTTATTTTGTTTTCATTGGCTTCAACTGGCCATCCAGAACATGGTGCATCTTCGATATTGAAATTGCCAGAACAAAATTTTGTAAATCAGTTTTGACACTGTCTTTCTCTCAACACATCTTCTCCGTACATGTACCACAATTTTTTTCTTGCTTGAACAGCATTTTGATTTTTTGGTAATAAAAAAGCAAAATATGCCGAAAATGATGCTTTCAATTTTCATATTTAATGGGACACTGAAAAAAAAAAAAACAATTGTACAGAATCAAACAAAATTTTTTACAAATAAGATAAAATGTCAACTATCAAAGTATGTAATGAAAATTTGGTTTTGTGAAGGACGAACAGACCCACAATAAAGTGTTATTTTAAATTTTAATTATTGGAAAATTTAATCGATTAAATTCGAGCGTTTTATCGAGTTAGGCTAAAAGCCATAAAAATTATTTCCCACGGAGTTTGTTCCTTGTTGAGTCGGATCAAGTTAGTCAGGGATGTGTCACCAGGAACTTTTGATGGAGAAGACATATTGGACGTGCGACCGTTAAAGGCCATCACCTGACCTCATGGAAAAAACCCAAGAGGAATGAAAAAGAGAAAAGAAAAAAAGACCCCGAGGTCAGTCGTCATCCAAAGTCCGCCCAACAAAGTCGTCCTCCAGGATAAAAATCGTGACACCGGATTAAAACCGTGACCCAGGATTAAACCCGAGAGAAACATTCGTGCTGGAGTAAGCCT